AATATAAAAGAGTTAAAGTTTTAGCACTTACCCTGAACTGCAATTTTTTAAGTAGACCTAATTTTTTATATGCATTGGCAACGATAGAATCAATGTACGCTGACCATGTAAGGTCGTGTGAAAAGAGAATACCTAAGTGGTTGTGTGATGATACAAAATCTAAATAACAGTCTTGAAATTTAAGCCTTGGTAGTTCGACAATTTTCTTAGTACTAAAAAAGATAGCTTTGGTTTTCGAAGGATTAAATTTCAATAGCCACTGTTTAGACCACTGTTCAAGTTGATTTAAATCATAATTCAATCCTACTTGAATATCATGTATATTTTCAGAACAGTTCTGTAAAGAATTATCATCAGCATACAACCTGCTTAAACTCGACATATTTTCAGCAACATCATTGACATATATCAAAAATAAAAGTGGTCCCAATACAGACCCCTGAGGGACTCCAGCATGTAAAGGTTTAAAATTAGACATAGTATTCCTATGCACTACCCTTTGTGTCCTTAAATCTAAATAACTTTGAAACCATAGCAATAATTTATCGCTAACACCATAAGTTTGTAACTTAAATAGAAGACCTTTATGCCATACCCGATCAAATGCCTTAGACAAATCACAAAAAACCATACAACAGTGTTTTCCTTCATCTAGAGCTTTAGATATGTAATTGTATGTCTCAACTAGAGCCGAGCTCGTTGCAAAGCAACGAGTAGGTCTTCCGTTGGAGCTGCAGGCAGGAAGAAGTGACCTTGAGTCAAGGTCATGCCATATCATAAGGTTATAAGCAATCTTGTAAGAGGTATCAACTAACAATGTTTCACTCTGTAGTATAAAGACGATAAAGGAATGCATGTGACCTTGAACTTGTCCAAATGACCTTGCGAAAGCCATGACACACTCTGGTTATGAGAAAACCCCATCTGTGTATTACTAACTTCTCAAATTCACTCATGTTCATACAGTCCATACATCCAGTCAAAAATATCTTATCCTTAGTGACCTTGAACTTGAGTTTAGGCCATGTCACACTCTGCATGATACCAACAATGTTTCACTAGAAAAAGACGGTAACGAATTTAAAGCTTCTCATCCAAACTCATCCAAATGACCTTTCATTAAGACCATAATACACACTGGTTAAGAAAAATCCCAATCTGTGAGTTATTGACTCGATAAGGTTAGCCATGTTCTTTCAGACCATAGATCGAGTCAAATAATTTATCAGGTTCCACACAATGATTTAAGGATTCATTGTGAATGTTTTTGTCCAGTTTGGATATTGAACAAGACGTGTTTGTGAAACACTGATGCCCCGGTATTGCAGCTTATGGCAAAGGTTTAAGTTTCTCAAATCCGTATCCAACTCCAAGGTCAAAGTCAAGAGATAAGAAATTATGTTACCCAAAGAAAGATCTCGTCTCAGTGAATATAACTGTGAAATATGAAACCGCTATAAGACTAACTATTGAAAAGCATGGCAAAGGTTAATTTTTTTATACTCAAGTCAAATGTTAAGGTCAAGGATAGATTAACGGTGTCCAAAGGAATGCCTTGTCATAAGAAATAGACATTGAAATATGAAAGCCCTAGCATTAATTATTCAAAAGTTATGACAAAGGTCAACTTTTTTTTTTCAAAAGTAGGTCAAACCCCAAGATCAAGGACAAAAGTCAAAA